TTAAGAGAACAAAGAGACTGACAGTCGGGAAACGTTTTTTCCTTAATCACCAATGTTAGCATTGTATAAACTAATAACGGAAAAAAGATCTAATTCAAGTTTATTTACCTAAAAGACATCAAGAAATTTGCTCTGTATGTACTTATTTTGAGATCAATCTCTAGTTGAACCTGAAATGAGTGTACCATGTTTTTGATAATTTCAAAAAATAGTTAAAAAGCAAAAGAGCTCACGTTTCTTTTTCAACCAAATTATCTTTGGCAAACAGCAACCGTCTTTCCACCGTAGTTCAGCTTTATATATACAGACTTTTGAAAGCCGCCATTGCGCCATTCAGAAGTCCTACTAAAACGAATTTAAACTTCATATAAGTGTCAGTTTCTGTGAAATGGTTGCGCTAATTCGTCTTGTTCCCCAGCAGCTGACCAAAATCCATTTATGACAGATGTCGGTAGCATAGCTATTAAACTTAATGATGAACAAAAGTTGAATGAACTAGTTCATTCCCCAGCTGGGGTAACCGTTTTATAACTCTATGACAGCTATCTCACAAATCATTACGAAGTAGATCGGCGTGCTCACTTAATATTTATCTTAGATGTCTGTCGCTGCGAAGAAAACAAATAGAAATACTCGATAAAAGTTGGATAGTTTTCGACTACTCATTATTTTGTTGTGTTTTCTCTATTTATATTTTTTTCCCAGTTTTGTTTATTACTGTTTATATTATGTTGCTTGTCTGTTTGCTCTTGTTCTTTTCTATGTAACAAGTGAAGCAACACAGTACTGAATAACACAAGATCTCTAAGGAAAAGATGACCCGTTTTGACACTTACAGTAGTATAAGAAGCATGGAGACAGTGGAAGACCATCGTCATCTGCCAGAAACAAACGCTAGCCATCTCTGCTTTTATTGTCTAATGTGCAGCTGCTGTCTTATTGCCGCCCCTTACATGTATGAGCTATTTTGAATTTTTTTTGTCAAATAGTGAGTCTCGGATTTTCGATATTCCGTTATTTTGAGTTTTAAAAATAGCTTTCTCATTGATCTTCTCGTTATATTATTTGTTGAATATAAATCATTCTCTCGCAGGAAAAATTGTTCTTCAATCAATTCAAGTCTCATATTATAGATCGTTGTCTTTTTACTGAGTAATATGTGTTGTATCAAGAAGAATAATGTTAAATAAATAAATTTTGCAATGAGTGTCAAACGATCTCTACTTGTAAGCGATCAACAGCATAGTAATAACAATGTAAATGGTAATGATAACAGTTTAATCAGTCCTCCTGAGTCACCTTTACCAAAAATTGCTCGAACAGCAAATAATTCTGAGGACGATAATTATGAAAATGAACAATTAAATGGTAAGACGTTTTTTTTATTGTTGCTGGATTACTGTATGGTGAATATATTTTAGGAATTGAATCCGAAAGTGAACAAGGGGATGAATGCTCTGATGAATCGATTGAAAATATTAGCGTAGATGACAGTAAGTTTCGTCTAAAACCACTCGTTTTAGGCATCGTCTTCCGAATGATTGTTCTTAAAATTAGTCTCGTTAGTATAGCGTCATATTTGAGTTCTGTTTTTCTTTAGTTTATCGTTATCAGGGTTTGTTAAAATATTATTTTCGAGTGCCAACTCGTCCAACTAACGATTTAACAAGTGTAGGAACAATAATTCGGACGTTTACATGGACTCTACTCGTACATTATAAACCAGACTATGAACCCTACGTAAGTGGTAGCAGGGATTTAGGATTATTTTTAAAATGTGAACCAGAAAAACAATCGCCTGGATGGTCTATTTATGCTAATGCCGACTTAACATTGTTACATGCAACAGATCCAAAAAAAAATTTTGTTCGATGTAAGTTTCTTGCGTTAAAAATAATCATCTCTGCATTCTTGATTCGTTTTAGCAATCCATCATACATTTTCACAACGATCGGTGGACTGGGGTTTTCATTCTTTCAAATCATTAAAAGTACATAGGCAACAATGAGCATGAAATTGGTTGCTCTGTAATGCATATCTTCTACTTTTGAAGGAAATCCATAGTGAATTTGTACATAAACAAGATAATACAATTCGTATCGAAGCAAACATTCGTGCTGATGCTCCAAGAAATGTCGAGTAAGTGGTACTCTTTTTCTCTTTTACACTTCCTTAAAACGTGAAGCTTTTTAGATGGGATTCTAAAGGTCATACTAATTTTGTTGGGTTAAGAAATCAAGGCGCAACGTGTTACATGAATTCATTTTTACAAACAATTTATTTTACAAATAAACTAAGAAGAGTAAATATAAAAATTGTTTCTTTTCGACATAATACGTTTCTCTAAGACGAATGATAATCTATTGATAAAATTTCTGACTGATAGTCAGAAAGAACACAATTAGAAAGAATAGTAAGACTGACTATATGTCAAGGTGCAAACGTATGTCAAAAGCCGATTTAGCAATAGTTTTAGAAGATTTTGCTTTATCATAATAGAATTTTGGTGTCGTTTTAGGCTGTTTATGTTTTACCAACCGATAGTGATGATTTATCTCACAGCATTCCTCTAGCACTACAAAAACTATTTTATGATCTACAATTCACTGTTCATTCAGTGAGCACAAAAAAGCTAACAAAATCATTCGGGTATGTCTAGCAATATATAGTCTATTATATTTTGCCTACGTATGACCTTTTCCTATTTAGATGGGACAAACCAGATGAATTCATGCAACATGATATACAAGAATTTTGTCGAGTGGTAAAAAAAGAAAAGAATTATTTCGATCTTTGCGATTATCTTTTTCAATCAATTGTTTCTTGCAGTTACTTGATAGACTTGAATCAAAAATGGAAGGAACAACAGTCGAAGGAGTTATTCCGTCACTATTTCAAGGACAATATGTGGTAAAAAAACTAAAAGAGCAAAATCAGAGAAGGAAAACGTAGAAGATAACGTTTTTTCAACTTTGATGTGTCTACATTGGTATACATCTGAATAATCCTCTTCTTTTCTTTTCTAGCAATATGTTCGTTGTACAAAGGTTGACCACGAATCAAGTATGAAACAATTGTTTTATGATGTGCCATTACAAGTGAGAAATAATGCAAATAGTAAGCTTGTTATACTTTCTTTTTTGTATGTGTGATAAATTGTTTTCAATACAACTCTTGTTTTCAGTCTACGAATCATTTCGTGATTTTTGTAAATGCGAAATATTAACAGGTGATAATATGTATGATGCTGGACAGTACGGCTTACAAGTACGTTATTCAGGAAGAGTATTATGTCTCGATTTTTTGATTTTAATATAATCGAATATATTTCTATATCTTTTTGTTTGACTAGGAAGCGGAAAAAGGTGTTAAATTTCAAAAGTTTCCACCTGTTCTGTGTTTACATTTATTACGTTTTGAATTTGATTTTAACTCATCACAACATCGAAAAATCAATGATAGGCAAGATAAATGTATTTGTTCGTGTGTGTGTCTATCCGTGTGTTTGTAGTTTTATTCTAAAAAAGATCTCATTTTTGTTTCTCTTTTTCGATTTTTGTTTTAGTTATACGTTTTATAGTGATTTGGATCTCAGTGAATTTTTAGAAAAACCTGATTGTTGTCCTTGTAAATATAAATTAATGTCAGTTCTTGTACATAGTGGCGATAATAGTAGTGGGTAAGTAGAATTATTACAAGATAGTCATACTTAAATAAATCAGTATGATTTTATTATTAGACATTATGTTGCATTTATTAGTCCAGAATTAAATGGAGAAGTAAGTACATTATGAATAAAATCTACTTTAGGACAAAATTGTTCATATATTTATCTATTTTAGTGGTTTAAATTTGACGATGAGGTTGTATCTCGTTGTGCACCAACTGATGCTCTCGATCGTAATTTTGGTGGTATTAATGATGAGGATGGATCGATTACATATAATACAAGTGCTTATATGTTAGTGTATATTAGAGAAGATTGTCGTGGTATATACACATCGCTTCTTACTCTTTTATCTAAATTATTTATTTATTTTTTGATATTTTTTTTGTTAGACGATGTATTATCCGATATCAACATGTCAGTTTTACCAGAACATTTAATTTCTCGCATTGAATATGACAAGTAAATACGTTTACTGTCGTTTGAATTCATCTAATCTGTTTAATTTTTAGAAAAATTGCAATTAAAAGAAGACAAGAGATTAATGAGGGAATCTGGGATGTACAAATTATACTAGAAGATGATTATTATCGACATGAATTATTTGATTTATGGAATATTAATGAAAGATCAGATTCAACATGGTAAGTATCAAATTAAATATTAAACATTCTTCAATGTACTGATATTTATTTATTTTTATTTTCTGTCAAACTTCATTATTCAACAGAATGAAAAGTTGTATAGATATATGTTGTTTCTTCTTCTTAGTATCTTAGACTCAAATCAGCCTAAACGTATTCGTTATGTTCAAGCAAGACGTTCAGAAACATTTCGACAATTTGTTCAACGTTTATCCGACTCTCTAGTAAGTACCACGTATAAATCTTCGTTTTTTTTCAAAATTCACTGTTCTTGATGTATTGAAGGGAACCAATGTACAAGATATTCGTATCTGGCTTCTCTTGGATCATGAAACAAATGGAAATGGTCATCATTACAACAATAATAATAATAATAATAATCATCAGTCAACAAGATTCAGATCGTCAGATTTTATCGATAGTGAAAATTACGATAAAAAAGTATGATTAATTGTTTTTTAAATAACTATCTTTTTATCGAACAAAAAAGACGAGATGAAAATAAATCGAAGCTAACGCAGATTTAAAAATGAAAGAGTCTACCATTTTTTATCATGTTCTACACTCTTACTTTTCAATCGGAGTAAATATTTATTAAGAAATTGCTGGGCTTTAGTCACCTAGTATTGAATCCTTTCCAATTGAAGCAAAATCGAAATGTAATGTAGTAAAACATTTGGTTCAGTTTTTATAAACAAAAATGTACATTATTTTTCTTCGAAAATTATACATTAGATCAACTTATAAAGGAAAAAGTAGGAACGAACTATCATATCAGCATAGTGACACATTTTACATGATCAACAGCACTTAAACTAAAAATGATCAATCCAGTAAGTGAAACCTTAGAAAATGCATCGAAGAGAGAGTTTCATATTTTTGTATAAAATGTTTTAATCTATTAAACATTTCTAAAGAGTCACCAGAGATGGAAAATTAATAATATTAAATTTTGTTGAGATTTTTACCATATGATTACTGAATCATATGAAAGTTTTCAGTACTCATGATCGGCAACTGATCAAAGTTTGCCAGTTAGGTCTTAATATCCTCGAAGCTGAGAGATGCAATAAAATTATTTTGAGAAATTTATCTCGCACATCTTGACCATTTTTCATACTAGTTGCTCATTCCGGTCATATAACTTTGATAGATGATTCGTAAGTTATTTCCAAGGAGTAGTTCTGATAAATTTTTACTATGTGCTTTTAATCAATTTTGTTTTATCCTACTTTCACATAGAAATAAAAATATCTAAGATTATTCTACTTGAATCTCTGTGTGTTTCTAGCGAGTCAAACAGCTTTATTAAAATATTTTAATTTTTATCAAAAAGTGAAATCAAAAGTTATGAAAAATGGTTTTTTTTCTCTCTGAAAGGTACGAAATAGGCAATATTATAGGTCTACATTTTCTGTCTATGCGAACTCGAAGTTAATAAAATATGCATAAACTTGAATCTTTTCATTAATTGAATAAGTAGAAATTGTACAAATGTTATCAGACTGAAGCGTCAATAATATTAGTTCTAATAACCCTAAAATGAGAAAGAAAATCATCGAATATTGTAATGAATAACAGAAATCATAGAATAACTTACTTTTTGAAATAATAGAAATGCTTTTAAAAGTTCGAACTTTTTCTCTTCTCCGTGAAAATATTATGAAAAGCCCTGAACACATTTGAAATACTAAAAAATAGTTCGTATTTTAGACCCATTTTCAGAAAAAAATGTTTTTTTACAAAAATATATCGCTCTCTCTCTTCGATGGATTTTCTAAGATTGTACTTAGTAGTTTTTAGTTCAAGCGTTCTTGATCATGTAAAATGTGTCACTATGCTAATACGACAGCTCGTCCCTTCTTTTTCCTTTATAAGTTGATCTAATGTATAATTTTCGGTGAAAAATAATCTACATGTTTGTTAATAAAAACGAAATCGAATGAGATATATCACGTTTCTTCTTCATAAATTAGAAGATAGTGCAGGAGGATTTGCTCTATGGATTCAATATCTTGAGATGATTAGTTGAAGTACAAATGTACATTCTCGATCTGTTTTAGGTAGTTGATATATTATGTGATAATTTATTTGAACACAATGTTGTACCAACGATATTTGTTGAACAAAAAGTATTTCTTAATGGTGTTTATAAATTGATGCCATTTAACAAAAAAGGTATGAGAAAATTTTGTTTTCTTACTCTTATTTTTAACTCTTTCGAATTTTAGATGATATACTTGCATTCATTAAATTATATGATCCAAAGAGTGAATCACTAACATATATTGGTCACTTTTTATTTTCTATACAAAATACGTTAAGTATGTATTTGATTAATGATTTTTTTTTTTCTTTTCTCATTTAATCATTCTTATAATTTATTCATTTTTTTTTTGAGATCAATGTATGTACGAAATATCCATTCGTTTAAAATTTCCTAAAGATACAACGTATTTTATCTATGAAGAATTACAAACTGTCAATTGTAATCAATTCACATTAATTAAAGAATCATCCTATGATTTTCCATTTGGACAAGCTTGTCATCAACCTTGGCACGGTGCCTATTTGACTGTACAAGTAAACGATTCAAAATTACAATACTATCCATTACCTCGTCTAGATGATTATTTAAAGTATGTATAATAGTGTTGCTGTTACTATCAATTAGCGAAACAATTCATTTTTTTGTTTCTATTTTTTTAGAAGTTTAGAAAATCGTCAAAAATTTTCTATTATAAATCGTGATAATCCTCGAAATGAAATTTTATTCGAATTGTTTTTACCATCTAAAACGTTGATTAAAGATGTATGTCTCTAAATTTTTTTTCTGTTATCTCAAAATTCTAACTTATTTTTACTTCATTTTTACAGTTAATACAGTTGATTGCCGAACGGATTGAATATGATAAAGAAAAATTAGTTATATTTAGACCAACAATGTATGTATCATCTTTTTATTTAAAATTTATAAAACTGTATTATAGAACTATTATCTTATTTCTATAATTTATTTTTAGTCAACCTAATCTATTAGGTTTAAAAGAGTATACTCATTTATCACATATGGGTACTGATAATACGTTAAAAGATTTATGGACAAATAATCGAATGGTTGGTCAAAAGAAAATATTTTTTAAACGAGTATGTATGGATATTTTCTTTGAGAAAAATGAAGAGAAAAATGATTTGTTTTTTTAGTTGCCATTTCATTATTCAGAAATTGATCATCGACGACCATTGCGATGTTTCGTTAATGATACATTGAAAAAAGATGAACAACGTGAAATCGTATTATTTGGAAAAAAGGCATCAACAGTGGGTGAATTTCTTGAAGAAGTCAAATATTGGATACCAGCAATATGTTCAGATAAAGGAACAAAACAATTGAGGTAAAAAAAAAATGAGAGAGTATAATTAGAATTGTTGAAAAACTGTTACAAGTGATAGGTAGATCTGAACAAATAACATAAAATAGATGGATATGCGAGATCTTTGTTGTAGTTTCTACAACAATTTGTTACGAACTTCTTCTTATTTAGGCTTATTGAAGTAACTCAGCCAGCTATATCAAGTTTATCCTATATAAAAGTCCATCCACATAGTCAAATGATAGAAGATTTAGATATAAATGGAATATATCGTGTAGAAGAAATTCCATATGATGAGTTAGATTTGGACAAAGATACTATACTAATACAAGTGGCACATTATACAAAAGTAAAATTTATGTTTTGTTATTGTATAATATTTGAGAGATTTTTCATTAATAAATATATTCATTCACTTTAGGATAATTCAAACACGTTCTCAATTAATTTACAGCCATTGTTTCCTTTTTTATTGAAAGTTATTAACGTAAGTGTGTTTATCTTATTGTTTATGCTCAGTATTAATTATGTCTTTTTGTTTTTTTTGTTGTGTACAGAATGAGTCTTATAGCGATGTAAAACGACGTCTTCAAATTAAAATGGGTATATCCAATAGAGAATTCGAAAAGGTATTGTACAATTTTGAATACTTGGAGCTAAAGTGGCATACTCTTCCTTGTATAATATCATTTTCAGTGAATAAAGAAAAGATTATATTTTTGATTTTAACAGAGAGTATTGGAAAACTTATTAATACAGGGTGTTACATAACCTTTTTCTCCCCCCCTACACGACCTAAAGGACAGATAATATCAGAAAGTATTTATACCAGGTTAAAGCCCATCAAAAACTAGATTTATGAGTGTAATTGATATTCCGTA